TAGGTTTTTTTTTTTTTTTCTACATTCACCTCAAGTGTTTTTGTGCATTCTTTCTCTCTTTCCTTCTGCGTCTGACTCACCTTCTCGGTCCACTACATTGGGGTTGTGGGTGGTGACTCGCGGCCTGCGGTCAGACTCGTTCTGATCCAGTCTCTGTTTGTCCTCCTGCACGGACTCATGTACAGCTTTGATTTGGTGCTGGAACATAGCAAAGCCGCTCAACGGTCCTCCGGGAACGCTGCTGTGACCGAATTGAGCTGAAACCTAAACAAACCATTCAGGAACAGAGAGGATTCAAATGGGAGCTACATGCTGGACTAATGTTCAGCAAAACTGCTCCATTAGAAAAATTTAAATGATTAAATATTTAAATGCATGACTATTGTTTACTTTGCACCAAGATGCTACATTTTCATGAACCTTGTGAACAGCCAATCAGGGCTTAAATCCAGTTAGATTAAATCCATTTCACAGCCACACCAAATCGCCATAACAGACACCAACAAACAGCACAACTAATCAACCCAACAGAGCAGCCAAATGTATTTTTACTCGTCATGATTTCAGTGTGGAAAATCAATTGGTATTTGCTGATTCGTTTGCTGATTGCCGCAGAAGCAAATCACAGCGCGTGATCTGCAGAGGTGGAGATGGAGGCAGGACTCACGTGGCGGGGTGGCTGGGCCCTGTCTCTGTCCAGAGGGGCATATCTGAATGCTAAGTGGGGGTAGAGGCTATGGGGACTGACCATAGGGGGGATGGTGGCGGCCCGCTTCTGTAGCTGCAGCATGTTGAGGAATTTGGCTGAGGACACGACCACTGAGCCTGCAGCGCCAAGCAATGACGGCTTCTCCAGAGAGAAAAGTCTGCCACAGGAAGGAAGGAACAAGATAATAAAATGTATTAGCTACTGATACTCTACTGCTAGGCACATTTAAAGGGGTTTTCATATATACACAACGACACAGAGACCACAAATCATTTTTCGTTCATTCACAGACTATTCACCAGCTTTTGTAAAATACTAGCTCAAGCACATTCCCATGCTGGACAACTAAATATTTGTTTAGGTAAATACAACAAAAACTGTATTTAATAAAAGCTGAAGCAATATAAATAATTCATTACACATCAGAGCTTGACAGGACAGTAAGGTTTTTTTAAGGCTACAAGAATTGAAATGTATTATTTTACATTTGCATTTCTAATTTAAATGTATATTTTTAGTATTCATTTCAATATTACTGAAAATACAATTACATAATTTTCACACATATACATTATCTTTCAATTAATAAATCACCACCCTATCCATGCTACTAGAAACCAATAGCACTGCATGTATGAAAACTCCATTACAGAACATGAGCAGCGGCGTTCTCACCCTTGTCGGTCAGGTTCAGCCTCCACATCCTCATCCGCACTGCAGGTGGCGCTAGAGTCATTATCGGAGTGCTGTTTCTCCTCCTTGTCCTTGACCTCCGGCTCAGTCTTCACTTGCACCTGCGCTCTTTCGCAGCTCGAAGCGTTCATCTCCACATCCTGTGTCTCACTTTTTGGATGGATCTGCATTTCATATGCCGAGCGTGTGCGCTCATCCTGAGGAAGCCCGTCTCCAGCTCCTCCTTCCGGACTCTTCTCTACTTTCACCCGTAGCTCGCCGTACGGAGGCTCCTGGCCCTTGGCATCTGCCACTGGGCCTTTGGTTGGCGTGACGTCCTGGTCCGACACGCCGTCCAGAGCTGAGTTGGGATGAGTTGGCGCGTCGAATTTGGAGGGATCAGTTTGAGTTGGAGAAGGCGCACTCTCTGTGTCTGAACTGTAATCGGGACCTGAGGAAAGGAGATGAAAAAGCGTATGATTGAGCCAACACATCCTCTTTAAATTCTTCTTTCATCTGTGCAAAGAGAACACAGAATAGCAAACCCAATCTATTTCAATCTCTGCTACAGAAACACAAAGGCAGAGAAGAACCCAAACAACCCTGCCGTGACAGAGAAGAGGCGGCATTTGAGGTCACCATCGCTGCACACGGCATCACGCAATCAGGTTAATGCACTTCTGGACAGCAAACATCCTTTGGCTAATCACTACCTTTCCACTCTTGCCGTTTGATGACACACCCTCCAGGGTCATATAAAATACATGAAGCACTGCATAAACATACCATTCAAATGTTTGGGGTTGGTAACATTTTTTAATGTCTTGGAAAATTCTGTTAAGCTCACCAAGGCTTCATTTATAAAACTTTGTACAAAAATTGTACAATTTAACTGTTTCCTATTTTAATATATATTCCTGTAATGGCAAAGCTCAATTTTCGGCAGCCATTATTCCAAGTCTTCAGTGTCACATTATCCTCCAGAAATCATTCTAATATGCTGATTCACAGCAGTTATTTGAAATAGAAATCTTTTGCAACAATGCAAAAGTCCATAATATCATTTATTCAGTGACCTTGTTGAATAAAAGTTTTTTTTTCATTCTTACTGATCCCAAAACTTTGAAAGGTAGTGTGTATACATATATAACCTACAGGCTTACTTACATATCCACATCACAGAAACAGGCTTTACAGGCAAAATCACAGATGTACTCCACGTGCCCGCAGGTTGCAAAGAACCAAGTTACCTCAAGAGTAAAACACATCCAACAACTAGGAAGCAGCTATCCTTCTCTCTGAAAATGACTCCTCTCCCTCATCTATAATTCCTCCCTCCTCTTGCTGTGTGGACACTCTCTGCCACTCTCACAGTCTATCTGTTATCTGTCCCTCTAAGAGAGCGATCAAGGGTAACCTGCTTGGCTCCAGGAGTATGTCAGCAGGTGCTACTCCAAAAAGCAGACGTGGAGAGAAAGATAAAAGTTTGAGGGAAGGAGAACAGAAGAAAGCAGCATCTAGCACATGTCAAGGAAAGCATACTAGGGAAGCAGCCTTGCAGGCTTCTTTTTTTAGCAAGGAGAATCTGAATAAAGTCTATAATGCACCAGGGTAGAGTATTATGTTATTTAAGAGGAAAGGGAGTATAGTTTATAGTTTTAATAAATTAATACTTTTATTTAGCAAGGATGCATTGAATAAGTTTTACAAAAGATTCTATTCCAAATAAATGCTGTTCTTTTGAACGATCTATTTATAAAATGTTTCCACAAAGATACTAAATAGCAAAACGGTTGATAAAAATTAGAAATGTTTCTTGGGCACCAAATCAGCACATTATAATGATTTCTGAATCATGTGACTGAAGACTGGAGTTGTGATGCTGAAAATTCTGCTTTGCCATCACAGGAAGAAATTGCCCCAAACTTTTGAACGGTAGTGTAGATGAGGTGGAAGAAGGTGAAGCGAACAAATGGGCACCCAAAGGGAAGGAAAGTGAGTTAAAAGACGTGTAACTAATAATTACTCTACTTTCATTTGAATGCAAGTGTTGTTCCAAGAATGCCGATATGAAGAGTTGGACCAGACAGGTATTGCTGGGCCTGAAATTACTGATTTTCTATTTTCATGTGCAAGTAAGTACTCTTATTATGTTTAAAAAGCAAGTTACTCAATATGAACTTTTTGTGTACAGAATTGTATAAAGACTTGAAGTTGTGTTGTAGCACTAAAAATCACACAACCATATCTGAATAAAAGCACAACAGATCAAACATGCTCGGCAGAAGCACTCGGTTTCCTTACAGCGTACTTTTTTGAGGCTTTAAAGCCAGGGAACGCTTGCATAAGAGCGAGTGTGGCAGGCAGAATTAGACCAGATCTCTTATCCTTTCTGCACATTGATTACCCCTATTTCCACTCTCTTTTCTTTGTGTTTGTGTCTTATTCACTTGTTTCCTATCCCTTTCATCCACCTCTCCCCCACCCGGCTGGTTCTCTCCTCATTTGCTCCTGATTCTCACTCATTAAGCGTACAGACAGAAGTAGAGGGAGGATGTTGACCTCTGTGGCAGAGCAGAGCGGTCTGGGGTTTTGCTGTCAGATCTAATCAAACGCTCTGCAGTCAGACAGGACACTGCTACTACTGCTCCCTCACTTCATCCCTCTTTGTGTGTCAGTCTGTCTGTTTCTGCTCTCTTTACATTATGGCTCCGCTGCTTCTCTTCCTCTCTGCTTGATCGGACTCTGGGTTCATGGGTCACAGAGCAAGAGACTGACAGCGATGGGTTTTAGGGTGTTTGTTTAGGCATTAGAGCTTATGTTGGAAGCAGCCGGCTGTAAAAGTCTTTAAATCACAGCGAGAGATCATACCGTCACTCTCCTCATCGTCATCAGGCGCAGGATCGCTCTGTGATGGGTCTCGATTTCCACAGAGCCGCCGGGAACCCTGCACACAACAACATAAGAGGTGCAAATCATAAGATATACATGTTAAGAAAAGTTCACGACTAAAGATTACACCACAGTCACGTGCATTCGTCAGACATTTTTCAGTTTTTGTCTCCATACAGCCACTTTTAAGTATCATGCTTAAAAACAGCAAAGTCAATGTTACTAGTAGGAAATTAGTAACTAGGAAAGATATAGATATATACTATTGTTCAAAATTTTGGGGTCAGTAAGATTTGTGTTTTTTAAAAGAAATTAATAATTTTATTCAGCAAGGATTAGGGTTGCAAAAGGGCTGAAAATGTCCATGGGAACTTCGTCTGGGGAAACTTACCAGGAATTTATGGGAATTAATTGGAAATTTAGGGAAATTTATAAAACTGTATCATATACAAACATAAATATAAACATTTTGTTTGATCATAAGCTGACATGCATGCAAACTAATACAAATTTTAAAAATGACATTTTTAGAATTTTGGGGGGAATCTGTGATGCTTTTTTCAGGATTTATTGATGAATAAAAACTTAAGAACAGTGTTTATTCCAAATAGAAATCTTTTTCTAACAATATGTCTTTACTATTACTTGTTATTAATTTAACACATCCTTGTTGAATAAAAGTATTAATTTCTTTCAAAAAAAGAGAAAAAAAAATACTGACCCCAAACTTTTGAACGGTAGTGTACTGTTAAAAAAGGATTTGTATTTTAAATAAATGCTGTTCTTTTTTTTAAAACTCTTTATTCATCAAAGACTCCTGAAAAAAGAATCACAGGAAATAAAAATATTAAGCAGCACAACTGTTTCCAAAATTGATAATAAATCAGCATATTAGAATGATTTCTGAAGAATCATGTGACACTGAAGACTGGAGTAATGATGTATGAATCACAGAAATACATTATATTTTAAAATATATTAAAACAGAAAACAATTATTTTAAATTGTAATACCGGTAATACTGCGCAATATTACTGTTTTGTTCTGTATTTTTGATGAAATAAATGAAGGCTTGATGAGCAAAAGAGATGCAATGTTTTAAAACATAAAAAATAGTAGTGTGTCCAAACTTTTGACCAGTACTGTACTTCTGTATGATAACAGAAAGCTGGCTAGCAGAAAGAGCATCACAGCTTGAGCTAGCTAGCACATACAAAGCCTTTTAAATTGTCAATGAAATAAACTAACTCGCTTAGAATTTTCATATATTGATTTACTGGCTAGCTAGCTACTGTAAAAACTCTTTTTGGCATTTACTAGTTAAGCTTGAATCCCATAGATCAAATATATTTAGAATATCAAAACTTAGATTAAGTCTTTGGGCTCAAATGCAGCAAGTGTGGCTTCAGAGAAAATGGAGAGGAATCCCCCTCTTAGTGACTAAGGGGGATTGTGTGTGGGGGAAGGTCATTTTTAGACTTTTGTTTTATTATCATTATCTCATCTAAATGTTTGTTCAGTCAGTGTATTTGTTTTTACAATGGCATAGCCTAATTTAGTTGCACAGTATATTACACACAGCACAAGGAAGTTTTAAACATATTTTTTTTGTAATATTCATGTAATTTACATGAATACTCACCAAGATGGACATTTTGATATCTTGTGTGCAGGATTTAAGAAATGATCAGTGCATGCTAAGGAGGAAAGCACAGTGCGTGTAGGGGGTGTGGCCAGCACTAAGCAGTGTGCATGTGATTAAGCAATGTGTAGGGTAGAAATTCAACTGAAACTGCATTAAATCTGGTTGTTTTAACCAAGATTATGCTGCAAGATTTTTTTTCTCAACTACATTTAAATTCTCAGTTTCTGCAATTTTGCAAATTCCCAGTTTATTCCCGTTAATTCCCATGGAAAGTTTCCAGTCTTGAAAATTCCCGTAATTTTGCAACCCGAGCAAGGATACATTACATTGATCAAGAGTGACAGTAAAAAGCATTTAAATTAAACGCTGTTCTTCTGAACTTTTCTATTTCTCAAATAATCATAAGAAAACAATGTTACTGAAGCACCAAATGCTCCAATGATTTCTGAAGGATCATGTAATACTGAAGACTGGAGTAAAAAGACAGGAGTGAAAATTCAACATTAACATCACAAGAATAAATTACACTTTAAGAAATAAAAAGAAAACTGTTCATTTAAATCACATTTTGTAATATTACAGTTTTTTATTATTGTATTGTTGATTAAATGCAGACTAAAAGAGCAAAAGAGACTGCTTTCACAAATCTTACTGACCCCAAATTTTTGTACAGTAGTTTAAATATCCAGACACAGAAACAGTGACCTCCTAAAAATGTACTTTTTGTTTGGATGTAGCATATAGATCTGTACCCGTACCTTGTGTTGGCGTAGTAGATTGTCTAGGTTGTATCGTCTCTTGTTGTTGAAGTAAAAGTTCTTACATTGAGCTTCACTCTTAGTGCCTACCATCTTAGCAATGGCTGGCCAGTTCCTACCATGTTCAACCAGCCCTGTGCACAAGAGAAAGTGGGTAAGGTTATAAATGAGTATACTGGTCACTGGAGTCAAACAAAACCCTTAGTAATTAAATGTTTACATGTATTACTAATGGTTTTCTTGATGGATGGATGGAGCCTATTATTAACCACAAGATTGTTCAACAGGTCCCGCTGTAAGATGAAAATAACACCCTCTATCAGCAGCACCACTATTTAAACACATGAAACATGGCTGGGTTTTACTTAGCAATGACTGTGCCACTCCTCCTGCCTCGGTGGTGCAGATAATCCTGCCAGCTTAGCTAGAATGGATGAACTAGTTAAGGAAGGATGTGCAGGGCACCACAAGGTTGAAGCAGCCAGATTAGCTGAACTCCTGATGAGCATCGGCATGAGAGTCAGCCTGATTTTACAGTATCCCACAAGACGACACATTATTGATGATTATTAAGGTTGCAAGGGATGCAAATCACTTATTAGGTCAAGAAATCAGAAAGGACAGCTATCCATAGATATCTTAACAATAACTGCTCACTCTCTAAATGTGATATCACATTAGTTAAATATCTAGTAAAGTTTGTCAGCAAAAAATGCCCATTATCAATAGATCTAGCCAAATCTTAACAGCCTGACAACAGCATGGATGGCAAAACTACTGAAACAGTGGTTTGGAAAAGTGTTCGCTTCTGGCATTTCTCAGGTTCTTGCAATGTCCCAATTTGGTAGCAAATTAAAATGAATAAATAACTGAAAAAGATAAACTTTAGATTAAATGAGTAAAGTGACTTTACCCTGCGAATGTGTGTCATCTGTATTTGTCTATTCAGGGTTATAGTACACATGCATGCCAAAAGCAGTTGTCAGCTTCAGTGATCAAAAGATTTACACTGAATAAACACAATTTCCTATGTATTCCTTCTTTATTATGATATTGTAAGTGATCGCCATAAAGTACTCAAGCTACGCAAATAGCACAGATAACAAATGACGTCTGTGATACTGTATATGTGGCTTTGTGTTCACAAATCAAAGTTTGGACCAGATTAGAGCAGTTCACATGTCACTGATTACTGCCATGACCATGCATGAGATGCTTACATGCACAAATTTCCTATTATATATATATATATATATATATATATATATTTGGGCCGTCATCGTTAACACGTTAACGCATGCGATTAATTATA